GACGTGATGAAGAAGAAAATAGTCAAAATGAAAAGTCGTTGCTGAAGGGGAGAATTGAAGAATCAGCACCGACATTGAAAAAGAATCTGAAAGTTGCTGAAATTAAAGCTCACAGCCATTCATGGAAAATTCTAGACAAAATAAATTTCAGTTAAGCCTAGAAGATTCTATCACCACCGCATACTGGAAGCCGCTAGAATTATCTATTATCCACCGCCATTAAAGAATTATTTAGAATCATCAATCTTTGTGTAGAAGAATCTAATGTCTATATATATCTGTATGTGTGCGCTCAACACATAAGTAATGTATTTGAGTGTGTAATTGAAAGAGTGCAAAACGAGTGAGTATGCAAGAGAGAAAGTGCAAGGTGTGCGTTAGTAAAGAAAATATTTTTGTTAATAAAATCATTTTTAGTTTGACCTTTAAACTCAAAATGATTATAGAGAGGTTTGTTTGATATCTAAAAACAGCTCAGCAGTGTCGATTGGAAATTGACTAGACGACAAAACAAATAAATGTTTACATGTTTTAATCATAATTAAACATTTAAAATAAAAATTTTGCAGGTAGTCATAACTCTCTCTTTTATACGTCATTACATGTTAATTCTTTGGGGCATATTTGGTAGCACAATTTAAAGACGTTCGATTGATATCCAAAAACGACTAAGCTTTAATGTTCGAAAATTGATTAGACAGCAAAACAAATAAATGATTACATGTTTTTATTTTGAGAATGAACGTTGTCTTCCTTAATATAATTTTTCGTTGGGATAAAAAATATGATTTTAACTGCTTGTGTGTATTGAGTGTTTGTGTTTTTGGCATTTACATCATTCATTGTTCATGGTTGAAGAGTGCAATGTCCTCAAGGAATATCTCAAACTTCTGAAATTTGCCTAACTGATTTATTTGAAGTCCAACTGTCAACTTTGGTGGAGTAAGGGGGGGAGGAGGAGGCTGGGAAAAAAAATTAGGATATTCACTATATTTTCTTGATCTATTATAACTTATTGTATGTTTTTTCATCCTTGTACCATTACTGGCTCAGCCTCCTATTCAGCTTCGAGATGGATCGATATACCACTTCTACTTCCATTGAGGCCCAAGCCAAGCCAGTTTTTCTGCTACCTGCTTCTGTGTTTTTATTTCAATTGCAGGGAGTTTTTTCTTCATTTCTATGTCAGATGAGGATAAAAGAAACTTTATGAAATTATCGTTTTCAAATAAATTATTGTATTCCATCTTGTGAATTACTGTTTCCTCTTTGTTCAAGTTTTGGATTGTCCCTTACATCTTTATCAAACATTATTTCTTTTATACAAATGTGTTTATTAGAATTTTGTAATTCAAGCTATCATCAATTCTTAGCATTCAAGACGTTAACATAACCTTCTCAATAAACTTTTTGAAATTATCATTTTCAAGTAATTTATTTTATTCCACCTTGTTAATTAATGCTTCTTCTTTGTTCAAATTTTTGATTGTCCCTTACATCTTTATCAATCATTATTTCTTTTATACAAATGTGTTTATTAAAATTTTGTAATACAAGCTCTCATCAATTCTTAGCATTCAAGACGTTAACATAACCTTCAAAATAACACCCAAAACCGATTTCTTTTATACAAATCGGTGCTTGCTAATTTTTTTTAGCACAGGTTTTGGATGGTTTAAGAAACACCCAAAATCGATGTAGCGTAATTTTGAGCGGTTCCCTCAACTTACCAAATCGGTGAGTTTTGACTGTTTTTCATATTCTCTTCTAATTTTACCCTTTATAAAATAATTATTTCTAATCAACATATTTTTTTCAAAATTAAATTGTAAATAAATTATATTAACTAAAAACTTACTTATTTATAATTTAACTTATATTATAATTTAAAAATACTTATAAGTAAAAAATCAATTTTATGTAAAAAAAAAAAAATTGTCATAAAATAAACATACTATTAATGAGACAAAAATTCACTTATAAAATATAAAAAGTTACTTATAAGCAAAAAAAAAATCACTTAAAATTATTTGAAAGTATAAAATTAACTTATAATTGTAAAATTTACTTATAAGTAAAAAAATATTAACTTCAAATTTTTTAGTAAATATTTATCTTTATTTAATTTTTAAGTGAAATATTAACTTATATGTAATAAAAAAATTATCTATAAATAAAATATCACTTATGAGTAAAAAATATATGTAATTTTATTCTTTTAAAAAACTTTCAGAACCGATAGATAATAAACTCTCAATCTTAGATTGGACAGTTTTAGAAATTACTACTAAAGCCACTCAAAATCGATCAGCTCATAAACACTCAAAATCAATCATTAAAAAGGCTTGGAACCGATAAGCCTAAACTCCCAAGCGGACTCTAAGTATCTCGCTTTAATTAAAGAATCTGCTTGAAACTTTGGTCTACTTAAAGCAATTTGAAATATACTAGTTTGGGAGGTGTTTATAATAGATTTAAATTATAAATAAATAGAAATGAGTTGAGCATAAGTGGGCAGTAGTTATGGATCCTACAAAATATGTTTATGAAAAGGTAAATTTGAATAAAAGTGTTTATAATTATACAACTACCAAACAAGCGCCAAGTTGAGATAAAACCTATACTATGAAAACATGTTTCTTTGATTAATAACATGTTAGGCACCTGCAGCAAGCTCTTCATGTCCTTAGGGTATTTGGGGAAAATTGCAAAATAAGTGTAGCACGAGCTCTATGTAAGAGAGGGAGTTCTATCTTCGTTTAGTCACACATTTTGGTATTTGGTGAGAGAGGCAGCCTCTCTAAAGCTAGCAATCTGCAATTCATTGGCGCAAGTCGCTACTAATGTAAGGCCATTGTATGCAAATGGTCTCTACTCAAGTTTTCCCAAGTGTTCGAGCTAACCAAGTCCGACCCACCACTTAAGTGGTAAATATTTTGAATTTATCTACTTGTACATAATTTGGTATATATCAAGGTATCCACCCTCTCATATGAGGGTGTGATGCACTTGAATAAAAAATATTTTCTCCAAGTGGGCCCACCCCCATGTGAGGGGGTGGATACCTTGATATACACCAAATTATGTACAAATAGCAATGCTTAAATATTTTTACCCACTGCACAAAACTTGGTGAAAAATTACAAAACTTCATAGCTCTCTATAGAAATTTATCAAATCTTCCGTCTTAAATCCATTTTCAAGAGATTCAAAAGTGAGTGAAGTTAGGGGCGGAGCCAGAAATATTGTTCAATATGGATGGAAGTTAATCAACGTCGGACTTTGAGTTTTCGAGGCCGAAGACGAACTTTAAATTTAGGCCCTTAAATTATAGCGCGCAATATGCATTCAAAATTTTCTTAACTAATCTAGAAACCAAAACTAAGAGTTTGTTTGGGAGAGATTTTTTGAGGAAGAATTGATTTTGAATAGTGATATGATGGGAAATGTGTGATTGAAAAAAAAGAAAATATTATTTTATTGAAAAATGTGTGGTTGAAAATGAGAATTGATTTATTGTAGAAAAATCTAATCCCTCCCAAACATGGCCTAAATAAACCAATAAATAAAATGAAATATCCAATTTCAAGTAAAGTTTGACCATGGATTTAGTGATGGTAAAAATATAAAATAATATTACGACAACACTAAAAATGACATAGTTTATAAATTACACTTGTTCCTTGTATATTCATCACCATTGTTCAGTGCAGGCATCTACTTAATGTGGCTCCACCCCAACATGCGCCCATCACCATAGACATGTATTCCCATAGTTCGTCCTTTCGTTTCAGTCGAGGCAATTTTTTAAGTTCGGTCCACTACTGTAATGGTAAATATTTTTTAAGTAATGTTACACTAAAAAGTTTCAGAGAATTCATAATGGAGGTCACTTGCACAATTTGTTACATGTAGCATGATTTATTTTATTTATGGTAGGTAAAAAAACAGAAGTAGTTGCAAATTAGGTGTTGCGGCGCGTAGCACCTTAGGAATTCTCTCCTGTACATGAGGAATTTTCCATATTTTTTATCCACTCCACTGCACAAAACTTGGTGGAAAACTCTCTCTAGAAACATATAAAATCTTCTTCGGTTCACGCTTTTCTTTGCTTTCACAGGCACCCTAGAATTTCCCCTAAAATTATCAAATAATTCATATATTCACTTTCCATTCTCAGCAATTCTTGAATCAGTCCAAAATGATGAGGCAAGCAAGTAAGATGATTCTGGGTCAAGGACTGCCATCCCTTCCTACGCGGACGCGGGCGGTGGTCGTGGGAGCAGGTAAGCCGCGGATGTACCACGAGAGGGTTGTGGATCACTACAGCAATCCGAGGAACGTCGGGTCCTTCGACAAGAAAGATCCGAATGTTGGTACGGGTCTGGTGGGCGCCCCGGCCTGCGGTGACGTCATGAAGCTTCAGATCAGAGTCGATGATGAGAGCGGAAAAATTGTTGATGCTTGCTTCAAGACGTTTGGCTGCGGTTCTGCAATTGCCTCCTCCTCTGTTGGTTAGTTATCTATTTATAATTCTGCCGGATATTTGGTTTGTGGTGAATTTTGATGCATTAATTCGGTTGTTTTTTGGAGAGAAATTTTCAGTTTTCTATATTGTTCTTATTAAGGTGAATTTCAGGGAATTTCTTCTTATATGTGTCTCAATCAATTTTTTTTCCTGATTAATGAGTTGGAAGGCCGATGTTTGTGAAAATTTAGAGCTCTAATGATTTTCCGCTGCTTTGTGAAACTCTGTTTTGATATAAGTGATAAAGTTGAATGAAGTTGTTTCATCTTTCCTGGTTTTGTCTACTGAGTTGGTATCAGCAGTGTTATTAATTTATTAGCATTGACCATCATAGATTAGAAGTTGATACTGTTATGAAAATGTGCACATGAAATAGAATACTTGTTGATTGGTTCACGCTGCTTGGATGAGTTGATGATTTAGTTTTTCTTCCATTTGGTTTTCAAAATTGTTACTATGTAAACTTGAGGGGTTGCTCAATTGGTCAGGCCTTGGGTTTACTCCCCAATGGTCACCAGTTCGAGTCCCTTCAGGGCCACTGAGGTGAGTACCCGGCCGTAAATTTCAGGCCCCGTGGAATTAGTCGAGGTGCGCGCAAACTGGCCGGACATCCACGGTTATCAAAAAAAAAAAAATTGTTACACTACATTTTAGCTTTTGAATAAGATAATCTCTTACTGCAATGGATATGTTCTTCGAGCATGATGCCCATGGAGCTTTTGGAAAGGAACTGTATATGATATACTACTTGTATACTTAGAGTGATGGCTCATGAGTATTGTGATCTAAACAGCAAAATTTCTTTACTTTTATGCCATTTATGTTTTTGTCATTTGTTGGTTGCAAAGCAATTTTGCTAACACGAAGGTTTCATTTTCAGTTACTGAATGGGTGAAAGGAAAACAAATGGAGGAAGTCCTGTCCATTAAGAATACGTAAGTTGGATACGTTTGTTGATTCTATCTAGTACCTTACCCAAGTTTTGTATTTCCTTTTGGGACTTGTCTTGTAACTTAGAGCTTCTTGTGCTAGTTTTAATTACTTTATTTGTCCTTTACATTTGCCCATTTTGCAAAGTCTCCAGTAAGATTTTGTATTTTCATGCTTCTTTTGGTTTCAATTAGATTCCCTTTATTCTTAGGTGGTCTTAGCATTGCCAGTCCTGTACATAGTGAAAAAAAAAATGTATTTCCTGCTCTCCCTTATTTTTCTAGTTATTACTTACACGGCTTCACTTAAATTATTATTGTTAGTTGTTCTTTTTAAAAATTTGTAGTTTTTGTTTTGAGGTTCTTTAACCTAGTGTATTACATGTTTTATTTTCTTTGAAATTAAAAGCTCCAAAACATTCTTGTGAAAATTTGTAAATTGCAATAATCAGCAGAATCTCTCTGCTTATTGTACGCGAGACTTGAATAGATAGATGAAGTTGGGAGATAATTCTGTGGTATGACTTATTGTTACAGCAAATAGAAGGTTTGAAGAATCTGGTTGGCTACAATGTATAGTGCCCTTTTTGTTGTATTTGCTGATTTTTTTAATTTTTTTTTGGAGTTGTCTCCTTCGGTTGAGAACTTTCTGAACAAGAACCTTCTGATTGCTTTTGATTTCTGTTCATATATTAAGGATCAAGAGACATGGTGTAAGAAAAAATTTGAGGATGGTATCTTCAAGGTTCCATTTTCCAGGATGTGATTTGACATGGATAATGTCTCTGATCTGAGTGGTGAAGTAGATAAAGTGAAAAATATGACTGCCACAGATAGTTTAGAGAAACTAAGATATGGTTATGGCTATCTTGTTCCTTGGGTATTAATTACTGTTGCTATTTCATGGGACATTCACTTGAAAAATTGATTGTCCCTACGAATATTTCTTGTCTATTATGCGATCTTCAGAAGTTTGTTGTGCATATTTCTATTTTCCAAATGTGTGTTTTAGGTGGTTGGCGTGGTCTATGCTAAAAAACTATTCAATTTCCTGAGAAGCTTATCTATGCCCTCAAATTCTTTTTACTCTATGATATTGACATTGTAGGGAAATTGCAAAGCATCTTTCACTTCCACCAGTGAAACTGCACTGCAGCATGCTTGCTGAAGATGCAATAAAGGCTGCTGTGAAAGATTATGAGACAAAGCGTGCAAAATCAAATTCCATCGAAGAGGCTGCACCTGTGAAGAAAGCTGCTGATGCTTGATAATGTATTTGCGAGGACTGCCTCCATGTGATGTGTCATGGAATGTGATTAAATAATGGATTGAACTTTAAATTTCCTTAAAGACCTTTGTTTTTATTTTCCTTTACTCTCTGCCTCCTTTCCTGTAATGTTTTGAGGACGTATACAAGTGAATGCAGATTAGGGTTTTTTGTGCTTTGCTTGTTAAAATGAATTTATTCTGGCATTACTTTTTTTTTTCCCCCGCTTCATACTTGTGCATGAATGATGAATATGATATCTGAGATGGAGAGAAGATTTCCTAGGACATTTAAGATTCTGAGAACGCCTTGTTTCTCTTTCAGATTCCCTAGTTTGATTATTTGGAGGATCCTTGTTCTTTGTGACTGGAGTACTGTTAATTGATGATTTCTTTTCTTGCGTCTTGGTGATTTAGTATTCATATAAATCTCGACCCAAAAAAATTGGTGAAAGTCGAGTAATATTCGTTGTGTTTCTTTGGGACTTGGTTAATATGGTTTTTAAGGGTTTCTGCTATAAGCATTTCAGGAAAATTTTCATTTCCCTATGTTGTTTACTGTTCTTTGAAGAATGATTTAAATGTGTTGGAGGTTGCTGAGATACTCGGCAACAGGGTGGGGTATACTCTGTTTTGGGAATAAATAGTCTGAGGGAAGGTTATAATAACCAGACAATTAATGTATATTTAATTTTCTGACTTTTTATGAAGTGTATCACTATAATTTGGACATTATTTGCTATTAGTATATAATTGGGGCCTTGGGACAATGTGTCTTGGTGCTGGACATGTTAGTAATTTTTGAAGTGTCTTGGTCTAAGTTGTCATGGTTGCATTTGTGGAGGTGATGTTTAGCTGCGAGCAGGGTGGATGAGGAAAATGAATTTTTTTATTTTTTATTTTTTTTGGTGCATGTTATATATATACATATTAATGAGATTTTAATTTTAGAAACTTTTGCTATATTTATAAGACCCCTAACATGAAACAAATATAATCTAAAGTATGGTCTCGATAGGAAGTATGAAATTCACATTCTAAAAGGTTAAAGTCGACATCAACTAAGTCAGAGGGGTCTGGCTGGTGGTCCTCTTCCCCAATTACCATCCAAGGAAATTCTTAGGAAAATCAATTTTTGTACTAAAATTCTAATTAGATGGTTGTCGCTCATGGAGAAAAGTAGCGAGATTGGCCACTACCGGGTGGAATTATCAATTAAATATTTTATGCAAATTGTATCCCATTTAAGGCAAATTTATTGCAAGAGAGGTCTTTCTCTTAGCCGAATAAATAGTTATGTCAAGATGTGTTCGGTATCTTTTTGAAAAGTTAGCAATTTTCCTTTATTTTTTTAATAATTTCATTACTTTCTTTTAATTTGTCGTCAAATTCATCATTTAATGGTCAAAATGGAGTTAATGATGAGTTTTGCTGCATAATTAAAAGGTTGAAATTGAATTATGCTTTAAAAAATATGATTTGAGAATAGATTTTGTCATATTTCGTAAAATTGAGAATGAAGTGTAAATTATCCCAAATGGCGAAGCTTGCTGATGCAACACACCATTTGCTAACATGGTGAGGCGTGCACCATGTTGACGGCATGCACCGATAATTGTATATCATTTATGGACTTCATTTCTGGACTTAAATAATATCTATTTATTTAGAAGCATCTTATGATGACATGGTGATGAGTCACACAAATTGAGCACCAAGGTAAAAGCGACCTACCTATTTGAGTAAAGTCACTTTACCCGAAAATGATTTGACACCTCGGGTGACCGACCCTCATATTGTGCGTGGGTCCCACATAAATAAAATAATGTCCGACCCTCGAAGTGTATGCGTTTGATCATCCAAGGTGTCAAGAGAGGTGTTCGTGTAGCACGGTTCTACCTATTTATAGTAAGTTTCTTGAGCTACAATGCTTGATCACTATATTGCCACAAGTATCGTCTCTTAATTTTAGTAAAAATTTGAGTAATATTATTTATAAGCACAACATACAAACACGAGTATATATAGATAGTTGGATAATGGCCACCGATTCTTATAAAATTGAATTGCATTTTAATTAATTGAAGAATGGACCGTGACCTCGCGGTCATATTAGTTGTTGATCATCAATATTGTTGATAAATAACATTATTCAGAAAATTATAATTGCAGCATATATATAATGTATTAAATATTACATCAAGTGAGAATCACTTTTTAGACGATTTTAGCACTGCTGTAATTCAATTATTTCAATAATACCATACTTTTCATTTTTCGATATGTATTTAATTTATTTAGTTACCATCAATGTATATGTACATTTAAGTAATTCATTTCACATGTGTGTTTTCATTTATGTTTGAATTTTCTATTATTAATTCTCAATAGTTATTAATTCTAATTATAAGTTAATTAGAATTTCACATTCAAGAATGCATTTCATTATTCACGTTTATATATGATAATTAACATCCAGTTTTATTTAATTAGAAATTAAATAAGTAATTTAACATTACTCGACACGTATATATTCCCTTATATTAACATTCACTCGTATTCAAATATTATGTTTACAGCATTTATAAAACATTTTATAATAATGTGCAACGTATGTTCAACATTGACTAATTCAAACTAAAAAGAGGAAAATTGCATTCTCAACAAAAAAAATAAAAATTGAAATAATTTTTTTAGTTAAAATAATGTTATGTCTGGCTTGTATGAGCTCCATTTTTTTAAAATTCATTTTCAACTGCGCACTTCAAAAAAATAATCTTATATGTAAATCGAAAACTTTTTCTTCTTTTTTAACCACAATTCTCCCAAACTCACTATTTTAAAATGAATTTTTTTCCCCAAAATGGGATTCAAACAAGGGTCTAATTTAAATTATAAATAAGACAATAATATTTTCAAACTAAATATAAAGATGAAAAGGTATAAAATGACAAATTTATTTATTTTCAAAAGGATATTTTTAATTTTTATAAGTGTAAATTAGGGTTGGACTCTTTAGTATTAGTATGATTATGAGTTTTCAACTTTCAAAAGCGAGTTCTGGATCTCAAATTTATTTAAATATGTGAATTTGAATTTGACGTGACAAAAATTGTTAATTTAGGTGTTAAAATTGTACAAGATTTTTAGTTCAATTGGAGATAAATATATATGATTTGATAAATTTATTCTCCACTGTGAAACACGTGAAAGTCACGAGCAACTTTAACAACGAAATCACTTTGGACCAAATTCACCAATTTAGATCGACCGAGGACCCAAAACCTTATTTTGAAGGTTGATGCGCTCATTATTGATATCTTTTTTGATTTAATCGTTTGTTTGAGATGAACTATTTGAAGTAAAAAATAATTTTTTTTTAATAATTAGATTAAGAAATATGAAAAAATTATTGAACTGAAAATGAATTTATGAAAAAATAATTTTTAAATGAGCTTGACAAATCTCATGGTCTACACTATCCACCTTGCACAAGCAGAGGTGCATAGCATATTACTATATTAGCACACGCGATGATTGAATGCATGAACGAGAATACAGAAGAACAAAGAATCATCATCGACCTTTCTTGTTCTCTCAAAAATCAACGTCAACAGACTAAGGTCCTGTTTGGGAGAGATTAAATTTTCTACAGTAAATCAATTCTCATTTTTAACCATACATTTTTCAATAAAATAATATTTTTCATCACATCAATAATTTTTTCTTCTTTTTCAACCACACATTTCCTATCATATCACTATTCAAAATCAATTCCTCCTCCAAAAATCCCTCCCAAACAAACTCTAAGTTCGTTTAATTTTACACTTCTTAACTACCCCCATTTTTTTATTAATTTTTCCATTTTGCCTTCTTTTTTCTATTTTGTCGTCTGGGTTTCATTCAATTTCATGAACACGTGTCCAAAAAGTTGTGTCCTTTATGCCAACAGTAATCATTCAAAGCCTCCATCTTTTCCTTATAAATTTTCGCTACTGTAATGGGCCAAAAAACTCACTGTTGTATGATAAGTAATAACTGATTTTATAATTTGCATGGTTTCTTTTCGTTTCCCATTACCTATCCCTGTTATTTTCATTCTAAAAAAGATTGTCCTTTCCATATCTTTAATTTTCTTGAAATTCCCGTCTTTTACCCTTAGACCAGTTCTCAAAAAGTTGTCCTTTTTCATTTTTTAATATTAAAAAAAAAAAAAGAAATTCGGATATTTTTCCTTAAAAGAATATACGGTTAGTCATATTTTTTTTTTCTCTCCTTGAATTTTATCTGTATACTCATTCTTTTATAGTATTATTTTATATTCATTATTGTGCAAGAATTGTGTTTGGTTTTGGACTTTGAACGTAGGACATCAGAAAATACCAAATTGGACTTTTGCTTTAGTAAGAAAGAAACAGCTTGGGATTAGGCAGCAGGTGTGGAGAATAATTATAATGGCTAGTCTAACAGATGACCACCAAGAACTCAACTTTGGGATTGACGGCAATATAAATAATTCTGATGAAAAATTCGAGAATAATTCAGAAACCCAAATAGATACTAGTACTACTGTAGAGAGAGGAGGAGGAGAAGAAAAAGATATGGCTCATTTGGCCGGTAGTTTGATTCACCGGTCATCCTCCCGGCCGCAGCTGGACCTCAGTGGGGCAGCCATACAAGGAAATTTTGAGGAAAGGGATCCCACAATACTGTTGCCTAATCAGTCTGATGATATTTCTCATTTAGCTTTGGATATTGGAGGTGAATTTTATGCATTCTGTTTGTTAGGAAGTGGAAAATTATCTTCACTTGAATTCTATACATATTTTTTTGCCTGTTTGATTGTAAACTTTGTTCTCTTCCTTGGTTTTGTTACTATTTTTTTTTAATAGAATTATGTTACTTCCTGTTTTTGAAGCCATTATTATTGAAACCAAGAGGAATCACGAATTGGAGAAGAAATGTTTTCATTAATTGAAAAACAAAATTCAGCTTCATCCGA